AACCCAAAGGAAAAAAAAGAGTACATAGATATAGTTGCTTTCCTTATTTTGACCATTTGCTTTTTCTAACCAAGAAGGGTAGTAGCTATATAGAGCACAGGAATCCTTGAATAATTTGAGAAAAATTTGGCATCCAACTGTCAACTTGATGTGATTAAATTACTATGAACAGTGGATTTCCTTCTTAGATACTAGGTGGTGGTTAGAAAATCTTGTAACTTGAGATAACTTTCATGCAGTTTAAAGTTTCATGCAATAAATGTGAGCAATCCTTATTATTCTCCAAGGCTAAAAAATAGTGGGAATAAGAGGAAATATGGCAGCTTATCACAAATCTGTGCATTTAACATTCAGCCCAGATAAATTAGCCTGCCTTCATTTGAGATCATGATACTATCTGAAAAACACTTATCTAATTACATAGGATAAGTAAGCTTCTTTTACCTGCTGGATTTAGCCTTTTTGACACAAAGATACCTTGTTTTCTTATTGGACAAATTTTCAAAAACGACTGTTTTCCAAATTTAATGAGCAAAATCGACCGCTGAAGAAAAAATTTAGCAAAATCGACCATTTCCCTGCACGGGACTACTAGTCCCGTGCAGTTCTAAAAAAAAATGTAAAAATCGACCCTCCAGCATTCGTCCCTCTCCTCCTCCTCCGTCGGCCCCTCCGCCTCCTCCTTCCTCGCATCCTCCGCCCCCAAATCCTCCGTCGACCACGTCATCAACACCTACGAGACCTACGAGCAGCACACTGTCGGCGTCTCCGTTCTTCCCCTCACCGCCGTCTCCCCCTTCACCTCCATGCACCGCGACATCTGCGGCGTCGCCGAAGAGAACCACGCCGCCCTCATCATCCTCCCCTTCCACAAACAGCAAACCGTCGACCGGTGGCGATTGGAGTCCACGAACCCCCACCATCAGACAATTGAACCAGACCGTCCTCTAACTGCCGCCCCCTGCTCCGTCGCCGTCCTCGTCGACCGCCGCCTCCGAACCAGCTTCCAGAATTCCCCGCAGCGCAAGGCAGCCAGGTAACCCTCCTCTTCCTCGCGGCACCGACGACCGCGACGGGCGGTAGCAGTCAGAGATCGCGGCGGGGGGTTGAGGGTCATGGCGTTTTTTTGGAGGGTCGGTCATGGGCGCCTGTAGAAGAAGTGGGGTGGGGGGTTGGGGAGGAGGAGGAGGGGAGGAGAACCCAGGTGGCTGCTGAGCGCACTCCATCTCCTTCCTCTCTTGCTCGCTGCTTCTGAAATCAAAGAGCCATCATATGTTATTTGAGGAAATTAGGGAGACCCATCAAAAGGGAAATTTGAGAAGAAGATGGGTCGGGGGATTTGGGGAGGAGGGGCGATTTTGAAAACCGACCCTTTTCTGCACGGGACTAGTAGTCCCGTGCAAAAAAGGGTCGGTTTTGCTAAAATTTTTGTCCGACGGTCGATTTTGCCTATTAAATTTAAAAAACGGTCGTTTTTAAAAATTTGTCCTTTCTTATTTTATCTTTTGTAACCAATTTTCTTTTAACATTGAAAATGAGAATCCGCTCAGCAGGAACCAACCACTGATACTTTAAATAGTTAGCATGTAACTTTTAATACAGTTTTTGTAACCTTAACATTTCTTTATTATCTATGTAATTTGTTAAAACAATTGCTTTTGTCTATGTTACTACTAAGAAACTCACTTCTGTTTTCTATCCTTGTGAGATTATTTTTCTTTAAAAGAAACTTGAAGGCGCAGTGTTCTTTGACTGCAGAATGACTTTAACTTTGAGAAAAGAGACTGGATGACAGTACACCCTAAAGAATTGCCCACTGGATCACAGCTGGTATGGATATTGCAACACTATTACTTGCAACACTATTAATGCTTCAGTCTTGTAACAATCTCTCTCTAGGGTTATCTATAGCCCTATTAAGATAATATGAAATTGGATCTTTCCATGCTTTACTCTCCTGATACAATTAATTCTCTTTATAATAAATCTTAAAACAGATCATGGGTCTTAATCCTCCGTTTGGGGTTAGGGCTGCACTTGCTAATAAGTTCATTGAAAAGGCGCTAACTTTCAAGCCGAAGCTTCTTATTCTCATTGTTCCCCCGGAAACAGAAAGGTATTTCTTCTAGTCTTTCCCTTGTATCCCCGAATCATTCATATGGATCCGTAATGATCATTGTATTTACTGTTTGGCTTCTCACTTATGTCTGATATAAGCAGACTAGATCGGAAAAGACCACCATATGATCTAATCTGGGAGGATAGTGAAAGCCTAGCTGGAAAGGTATTGAAAATCATTTTAAGCTTTTCTATTTAATCTTCTGAGATACCCTATTTATAGAATTGGCTTAAAACTGTACTCCATCATCCAGTCCTTTTACTTGCCTGGATCTGTTGATGTGAATGATATGCAAATGGATCAATGGAATTTTAAAGCACCGCCGCTGTACCTGTGGAGCCGGCCAGACTGGACAGCGAAGCATAAGGCCATAGCATCGAAGCAAGGACACACATCCCATTTCCAGAGTGAGACACATGGTGAAGAGGTATCTCGAGCACAAAGATTAGATGTTCACCCAACAACGGAACATATCTCTGAAAGACAGGGAAATAAAGAAGATACTACTGTGAAAGTGTCTCCTAGAGAAAGACATGAAAATAAAGGAGATACTACTAAGAAAGTGAGTCCTAGAGAAGAAAATAACATGAAGATTGCAGCAGAAAGCAGAAAGAGAAGTTCCCCAGAAACTATCACTCGCATGTCTAACAAAACAAAAAAAAGAAAGAGAAAGGAACAGCAGGAAACAAAGAGAAAGGAACAGCAGGAAACAAAGAGAAAGGAACAGGATGAAGCAAAGAGAAAGGAACCTGAGGCCTATGATAATAGGAAAGATGGTGAACTTTCTGACATGAGCATTTCACCTCCGCGTGAAAGAGACTCAGGCAAAGACGTGGTTAAGGGTCAGCAGCTTCCTTTGGAAGCATTTGAAGCTCAAAGAGAATGCTTTCAAACAACTACCCTAAGCTACCAAATACCAAGTTCTCAGCAGCTTCCTTTGGAAGCATATGAAGCTCAAAGAGAATGCTTTCAAACATCAACCCTAAGCCACCAAATACCAAGTTCTGTTGTTGAAGAGGAGATCAATGATATTGCAAGGAGGTATGGTGCCCCATTCAATAGAGATTGGTCTGATGATAGGATGAGGAATCTAGATTACCCAATACGGAAATCAGAGGAAAGATATCCAGGCTACAACAATTTAGACACTTTGAATAGAAACTCCTATATCAATGGTGACTATGGGAGATCATTTGATGGGGATACAAGGATGCCACAATCGAGGACTTATACTTTACCAGGAGAAAATGACTATAATCAAGTTCGATTAGGGCAAACAAATATTTTGCCATCAACCTCTTATGGATTATCAAGTTCTATGCATGGATCTGTAACACAGAGGTATGCTCCCCAGCTTGATGAAATGAACCACTCGAGGGCCTCTGGGATTCCTGGTGGCAGGGGTAACATTTATGACATGCAACCTCCCGATCAGTTTGGATTTGCATCAGGACCTCCTCACCAATATCGACACCATAACTCAGGTGGCTGGCTTGACGACTGAGTCAAATGATCTTCTCAGGAGGCAACTGAAAGCATGAGACAACCCTAGTTTTTGGCAAAGTTTGGCTTCTTGGGGGTTTGGGCTGATTTTTGGTGCTTATGTTGCTTGATGTGTATGAATATGCTGAATGTCATCTAGTTTTGTACACAGCTTTCACTGCTTGCTTAATCTGGATTGAGTATTAAGCACGAGCTTACGTTCTGCAGCTGAGAATTTGAATCGTAAGGGTGGCGTTTTATGCATATCAGGGTTCCAATGTTGTACAGATTGAAGATAAGAAAAACATTTCATATCATTTGCTTAGTTTGTGTTTGTTGGTATCTTTGTGAGGTGAGGTTTGCTACTTTATTGGTTTTCAACTTACTAGAGTGCATCCCGTGTGAAGCATGACCCCCCCTTATTTTTTTAAGGAAAGCATTTTGAGCTTGCATCCCTCTAGGTTTAAATACATTTAATTTAAATATTGTATGTTTAAAATTAGAAATCATATCTACTCTATACTTAAGTAATGATCCAAGTTTTAATACATTTGATTTAGTAATCATATTTACTCTTTTATATTTGAGGAAGAATTCAAATTTTAATATTTTTATTTGCTTTAATGTTTATGATACATAAATTACTGTAGCATGAATAATAACTTTACGCAAGTGGAGCATGTTTGATTTACTGTTTGTGATGTGCTACAGTAATCTCGAATGCAACTTGCTTTGCTGTTTATGCTTAGAGTTTACTGTAGCACTTACTGTAGTGTAAATAGTAAGTCTTTGGATTCTCCTTCGAGTTTATAGGAGTAGATAAGCAGGCAATGATGGAAAGATTTCCTTCTTGATTAATTCTCCTTACCTTGATTTCTCATAGTTCCTAAACTTATGATTTTTCTCTTTTCTTAAATTTCTACCTCAGTATTATTTTAATGTTTTAATTAAAAAAAGAACCCTCTCAATTATAGTGGTTGTCTCAGATAACCCATTTCAACTATTTTAAGCCTAGAAAACCTCCCTCAATTATGGAGTTGCTGCAGGTAACTTCTCTCAATTTTTAAAATATTATTTATCCCCCTTCAACTTTTCTCACTTAACCTTTTAAACTAATATAATTTAAACTAAATTTTTTAACCACAGTGTTACTTTTTAACTTTTTTAACTTTTGGTTAAATGTAACTTCTATTTTATTTCACCCCTCTTTTTATTCCTCCATTTTTATTGCTAGGTTTACGTGCAAATCAAAAATTTTCTTTCTTTTTTAAAACACCGATTTTTTTTTATTTTCTGCTTATCCATACTTGTAATGTTTGAAATAATTAAAACATTTAAATTTTTTTTGAAGATTAGTTTCCTCATCAAAACTCATCGAGCCGAAGTCTAATATTTTGATCGAGTAGTGTTTTTAAACTCACATGAATTTCTTTTTCAACCAAGGGTATTTTATTCATTCCATATTTCAAATTAATAATATTATGGGGTTATTTGAAAATAACTAGAAAGATAAAGGAAGTTTTGTGGGACACCCAACTGTTAGTCTTATTTTGAAAGTTGAGGGGGGTTATACACAACACCCTCAAAATTGAAGGGGGTTTCTAAAGATAAAATAGATGAAGTGGGTTTTCCAAGACAAGCCCCACAGTTGAGGGGGTTTTCTAGCACCAACCCTTGTTTAATTCTATACTCAAAAGAGGACGTTCTCAAGGAAGCTGTGCGTGTCAAATTAAGAGTAACAATTTTTGTTTCCATGATTTAATGCTGGTTTCTCCGTAGAGAAACTTCGACCACTGTTTTCATGATTTACTGCTTTGACAAACTGAAGTGCCTGTAGCATGTTTTATGCAAGGGGGAAAAAAGAAGGGAAAAAGAAAAAAAAAAAGAAAAAAGAAAAAAAGAAAGAACAGAAACATTCAATTCCTTTATTTGGTTCCCCCTATTAAGGCTTCCCCAGTAATTTTAGAATGAAAACTTTCTAGCATATTCAAGAGTAGCTGATCTATTTAAACGTTTGGTTGTGTATTGAAAGGTTGGCAAATCCTTAAATGGGAAGGAGATTTATCAGTCTCACTACAATAATAACAATTTCTCCTTAACATAATTGGACAAAAATTTCGAACAACACAATTTCTGAAAAACAACCATATTTCAAAAGAGACTTCAAGTTTTAGCCGTGTATCAGTATCAGTTGATGACACCGCGATACTTGGTTCCTTTCTGTAAGCAAATGCGAGCGTGATTCTTTTTATAATTCCCACAAATTTATCCTTTTTATTTTTCAGTCAAGAAATTATTCTGAACTTACAAGACATAGTTAGAAAATACCTCCTACTTAGGAGTTAGTCTGAACCAGATTTCTTACGTATACAACAAGATATATCGCTTATACGCTCCGTGATTGGATCGATAGGCCAACTCAACAATGAGATGAAAGAGGCAGATACGATGCCCCGATATACATACAAATAACGAATTTACTGAATTTTTATGTCTATTTCTTCTAAGCACACAAGAAACAAATATAAATACAATAGGCCTGAATTTGAATCTGTTCCTGATATTTAAGGTAAACTTCCGTTGTCCTTTGTGGCTTTTGCACGGTATTCCTCATGACGGTAAGTATACATACATAACTGTATAAATCTGCAGAAACCAGAAGAGAAGAAAAAAAAAGATCAAATGCATTTCTTTCTTTCTGTTTCCTATAAACCTGTGCCTTTGCTATTTAAATTCGTCATCAAGTAGTAAGAGCAGGTAGGTGTAAGCTCACCTTCTAATTCTGTATCGACAAGCTTCAGTAAAATTAGGACTTCACATGAATATCATCCGCCGCAGGCCATTGCTATACTTTTTGAGCAGCTTCATGCTGGATTGCTCGTTTCAAAAGTGACTGATACTCATTGCTCCTTGACCAATCATCGATCTCACGAGCTCTCATAACTGGAAGCGGGTGAGATAATTGACTGGTCTGTGCATTCCTGAAACCGCGTAAAATTACATGAAAGTTATAGTAGAATGTTATAAATACATGCAAATATTTCACCTGAGAAATATGATATAAAATAAATTGCAGGAAGTTCAAACTTATCCTATTGAACAAGATGAGAGGGACTCGATTGAGATGGTTTGACAACTAATACAGGTTATTATGTACACTGATTAGGAGAAATTGTAAGATTATAAATAATGAACTATGGAGGAGTTCCTTTATAAAAAAATGAAGTATGGAAGAGTGCAAGGTAGAAAATTTGTGATAAAGGACTTGTTATAATACTGCTGTATATCTTATGAAAAAAAAAAAGAATACATACCTGATGTACCATCCAACTGGACTTGAAGCAGCCTTGTCATACGAGCGTGCTTGCTCTAAGAATGCATCGACGTTTAGCTGGTCCGAAAGAGAAGGGCAACCGCCAGCCAATTTCATCAGAACAGAAATGACCACCTCTTGATAGGACAGAGAAAAAGAAATACAAATTATCAAGAAAGGTTAAAGTTTATGAAACTTCGTAGATCTAGAAAATGCTGATATCAGATTGAAGTGCTTGATCTCTGATTTTGAACATGAATAGAGCCCGCCAATTCTATACTTCGAGGAGACTTTATTAGCTTGTGCTAATATAGATTCGATGTGCGAGTATCAAAGCAGCTTATCGTTACTAATTCTCTACTTTAAGTGCTTGATTGAATGTAGTTTACCTTGGGATCTTGAGCGACAAGGAGAGCTGCTCTGTCACAAGTTAGTTCAGCAGATCGAAGCCACCTAAACAATTGTTCTTCCAATCTTTGAGCAATCAGCCCACCCAACCCTGATAAAATCAGAACCCAGAAGCGTGAAATCTTTAGTCAAGGACCCGACATAATTAACAATATCACACTACGTGTTTGGACTATATATCTAACGAAACACAGACCTACCAGGTACAATGTAAGCTCCCACTGTGAGAATGTTTGCAAATGTAAGAAACACACCATGGTCACATTTCAAGTGGCCCAATTCATGAGCCAAAACAGCCTAATTAAGAGGTCAGCTTATATAAATCTAAGCTATAAACATGTAAAAACTAATAATACAAGTGAAAACTACTAATACATGCAAAAACTATGTACGTAGAACCTTACTTGCAACTCTTTTTTGGTCAAAAGCTCCACAAGACTAGTATGGATGACGATGAATGGTTTTCTACCATTAATGGCCAAAGTGTAGGCATTTGGGACAGGATTTTGTCTTACATATAAATCAGGAGCCTCTATGTTCAATACTTCTGCAGCCTCGACCAACAACTGATGAAGGTCAGATAGCTGAAAGAAAAAGAGGAAAAAAATCATAATTTATAATCAGTAAAATATCCTTGGGAAACTGAGGGATAAATAACCAACCAAAAATTAACAACTTCAGACATCACAAGCACAACATCAGGTTCGAGGTAGCCAAGAGCTTGGCTTTGGGAAAAGCTCCTAGAGTATTGGATATGAAATAATTAATAAAATACATAGCTGCTTGATATATTATATATACTATAATTATATATATTATATCAATAAATATTTATATAGTAATATATATATATATTATATGTGTGTGTGTGATGTAAGTGTGTGTGTGTGTTGTGTGTGTGTGTGTGTGTTTGTGGTGTGTGTGTGGCCCGCGCAGCGCGTCCCGCCGCCGCGGTGGGCGCACGTAGTAATGTGTGTCGTTGTGTGTATATATTTTTTTACATTCTCAAATTATCCATATATATACGTGAGTGATATATAATATATAATAATATATATATATATATATAATATATATACCTATAATATATATATATATATATATATATATATATATATATATATATGTCTGTGTGCGCGTACGTGCGCGCGCGCGCGCGTGTATGCGCGTGTGTGTATAGTGTTTTTACATCAAAACCATATTTACTTTTACCCAAATTGATACTTACCACCTTTAAAGTTTTTTTTGATGTAAACCATCTTTGCTTGCTAACATGTTTGTAATATCACACCTAATCCATTTTTCTTCCAAAAGATACGCGAAATGACCATTTTACCCTCACCATTGTCTTATTTTTTCATCTCCTTCCTCACAAATCCTACCCCAACCCTAACCCTAACCCTAGCCTCCTCATCCTCATCTTCTCTCCATCTTCCCTCTCCCTCCTCCCCCAACTCCCCTCCCCCCTCTCTCATCCTCCCTCTTCCACCCCGACCTTCCACTCTCCCATTCTTTCCTAAGTGGGAACTAGGATTAGGGTTAGGGTTTGGGGAGATGACGACCATAGGTCAGGGCTAAGGTTTTGGGGGAGGTGGCGGCCATGAGTTAGGAGTAGGGTTAGATTTTGTAGAATAGGAGGATGGAGGAGGCTAGGGTTAGGTTTAGGGGCTGGAAGGAAGAAGATGAGGATAAAATGGGAATATCTGATTTTTTCGTGGATGAACAATAAAAAAAGTGTGACATTGCAAAACATAAAGAAACATTAAAGATTTATGAGGGACCGTTTTCTTCCCCGACTTTATGTCCAGATCTTGAGTTGGGTGGTCAGAAGATCTGCACATGTAGAAACATGTAAGAGGACGGAGATTGGTTCCCCCTGGTTCTTGACGATCAAGTTAGCTAGTGAACTTGAGTGGGGAAAAGAACCGTGAGTTCTTGAGTGTGTAGTATGCTCTGCTTAGAGATCAGGTTTTTCCACACCACTTTATGTTAGAATAGTACCTGTATTTATACCTAGGATATGAGGGTAGATTGGTCACTTTGGCCGAGCACATAAGGGCGGTGGCGAAGTGTGGGCTGGTTGTTGGGTCAGCCTCGGCTTGACAGGTGTCGATAATGAATGAGAAGTGACCGACGATATGGCAGAGTATAAGCTGGATAGCTGAGTTAGCCTTTGCTTTATAGGTGTTGGCTGGCGACTGTGGGAGAGATCACTTTGGCATTGAATGGAAAGTGATCGGTGGCATGGCAGAGCCCACGTGGTCCGATGAGTCATGAATGCTATCAAGGTCAGAGACATAATGCGCCTGACGTGCATTAAATGCGACGTTGACACGTCGTTAGAGAGGATAAGCTTGAAGAAGAATATGTCCTTTGCCTTCGGCGAGAAGTAACATCTTTCGAGTTGGTTTCGAAAGGCGTCAGGAAAATGGCCGAGTAGACTTGTGGGGAGTCGTCTTCGACAAATGTGAGGCAACATGTTCCGCATTTCTGAGTCGACATGAAGGAATGTCGAGTCGTTGAGTCGGCGGAGTGATCGTCCCTACTGGTCCCTGGCCGCCAAGTTGATTGGGGTCTAGCATGCAGAAACACTCGTTTGTTTCTCGGCAATGAGTTTGCACTTTAGCGAATGTGAACACCATAACAATATGTATATATGTATATGTACATATACATATACATACATACATACATACATACATATATATATATATATATATATATATATATATATATATATATATACACTACCAAGTTGTTTGGAGCAACTTGGTACCAAGTTTCTCCATTTTTCTCTCTCTCTCTCTCTCTATATATATATATATATATATATGTAAGTATGTATATACACACACACACACATACATACATATGTGTGTGTGTGTGTTTGTGTCGTGTGTGTAGACATATATATGCATACATGCATGCATGCATGCATGCATATATACATAAACAAGTATACACACGCGCGTGCACACACACACACATGCACACACGTGTTTGGAGAGACCCAACTTCAACCCAACACCAAATTATGTTTTCCCCCGCTGTCTTAGAATTCTCATACATGGATTGAAAAAATTGTTTATTTATAAATACATCCAATCATATTAGTACTCACTGAAGTTTACATGCTAATGAAAGAAATTATCAAAACGTTCTGGAGAGTGATGAATTAAGCAAGGGCTAACCTAATAAAACCCATCACAACCTAGAACATGAGAAGAAGTATACTATTAAACTCAGGGGTAAATCTAGGAATTTTATTCAGCTTAGGCATTTAACTGTGTCATAATAAAGCTTTCAAAGCATGAAGTACTATGACTAAGTATAGACATTGCCTATCATTGATATACTCTTTTTGGACGAATTGACAAACCTGGTTTTCAGCCACAAGCACAGATGTTCCTATATTCTCGAGCAGCATGACTTGTTCAGAGACTGGTCCTGTATCAATAACAGATTTATGTCCATAGATTTAATAAAGCGCATTGCGAATCCAAGTTAAAGTTGACCACTTGTCCAAGAAACATGGAAATTTGATTGGTTTTAATACAAATAAATTAAAATGAACCAAAATTTCACATATACCAAGTCAAGTAACCAAGTAGCATAGTCAAAATTAACTGTAAAAAATTACAAAAAATATGCCTCAGTATGATATTACTGAACATTGTATGCCAAGCATTTCAAATATATGGATGCTACTCAAGGGAGGCATACTTTATCATACAAAGTGAACCATCTCATGGTTGCCCATTATGAATCATGACTAGACTTGTCGAACACAGCAGAATCAGACGATGATGTATGAAACAAGGGTTTGTGATGCTAATTAAAGGTTAATGCAGATACAGGATAGCGGTTTGCACTAGATTGAGAAAAGAGAATGTCAATTTACATATTCTTGCTAATTGAAGGGAAAAAGATGCAAGGAGGATATTATGAACTATACTATACCAAGAGGGGTACTTGAGCAAACAGGAAACTGAATTTCCCATATTCCTTGTTCTCTATTTAATATAAAAATTTGACTAAATCAACTGTATTTTACAGAACCAGCAGTTGTATATGATCCTCATAGGGAAACACAATAAAAAGCATTTCATATATGTACCGAATGTTTAATGAAGCCTTCAAATAGTATGTTGACATGATCACAAAAAAATCACAGGTATGGAAGATTAGAGCATGCTTACCTAATAAAGCCTTTCCGAGTTCATTCAGCCCTGGGATCACCCTCAAAAGCAATGTATTCTGTAATGAAAAAAAAACAGAATGAGGTACAGCTAAGATAATTGAATTCATCACCATAAAAGGCATTGTCATCAAAATGGGACAGATGAAGCTCCAAAAGAAATATTACGCTGAAGCTAAAAGGCTACATTTGGAAACTCGAAAACCTTAATTTGATTACATGATGTGAGTTGAAGAGCCATGGCTGATTGGCATAGCATCAAATTGTATAATGAACTCTTAAACCTCCATAGATATTTGGATTATTTGAAGAGAAAACTCGTTGTCCTTATTACCCACACCCACACCAAAGTTTGTGAAGTGGAAGAATATCGTATAAGGGTTTATCTTACACTCATATTTTTCAAACAGTGAAAACTCTTGTTGGTAACAAACAATAATCTTCTTTAAATTTGGGTCATAACAATATCTAGCAAAGGCTAGAATGCTAATGACGAACTTTGTTATCATACCTTACACCCAAATTCCTCTAATACCCAAAAAGACCAACCAAAACTGCTAACTACTAAGTCTAAGATATTATTGCACACATTTATTGCTATTCCAATAAGGCATGAACCATATATACCTTTAAATGGGCCCACAAAAGATTCCTCAAAGACCCAAAAAATTTGGGTATAAGAGTGTCTTGAGTAGAACATGTATAAATTATTACCAAGCTAAAATTTTGCATGCATCAAACCTATGACAAGAGGAAAATTGTAAAAGTTCTCCATATCCACCCCCTTTAGTGCAAGTACCAATCAAACAGAACTCAAACTGATATATACAAGCAACAGAGCTTCAGCTAGGAATCATCACAAACACTTGATGGGCACAACTCTAATCACCTGTTTATCAAGAGGATGCCTGAAATCATCAGCATCAAGATCCCGAAACACGACGGGCGCCGCCCGACAAACTGCAACCCTTCTCTTCTTCTTTAGCCCAGTTCTCAACACAGGAGAACCCAGTTTGGGCAATGAAGATGAGGGTTTGAGCACAAGCCCATGGCAAGGAAGCATGAAGGTAGCCATGTTTTCTTTTTCTTCTTCCTTCTGCCTTTGATTCTTATACGTAATGAAGACAGTAAGAAAATTTTCAGCGGGGGAGAATGATGGAGTGTAATGTGAGCGCAGCGCTTTTTCTTTCGTTAGAATGAGTTGTAGTTTTGAGATCCACAGATGTTGTTATGGTTAGTTTTGCCCGCCATCTCACTTTCCTTTTAAGGGATATTTTCAGCTGCACTTAAATACTTTGTGGTGTTTAGATATTAGTCCCCTGAATCATTGATATTGGTATTTAGCCCCCAAATTCATATAGGTTTCTTCAAATTGACCCCTGAACTTTGTTAGAATACTATGTAATAACCTTTAGCCCTCATCACAGCTCCGCGGTATTGGTGCCAAGATAGCCAGAGCAATCCGGGTTTAAATCTTGCTCACCACAAATTCTTATGCGGATTTAAAAAAATAAACATCGATGCGTGTGTCTAGATTTTTGCCCATAATAGAGCCTTCAACCTGAAGGGATATAATAGAATATAAAATTATAATCCTCAATCCTCACCACGATTTTAGAATATTGACGCAGTGGTAGGGTAAGAACTCATCTGACATAACTTACATTAATCAAGGGACTAAATCACAATTTCAATGATTGGAGGGACCAATCTGAAAATATGAAACATTTATAAGGGGCTAATATCTGCATAAGATTTTAAGTTTTTTGGGTAAAGTGTTTAAAAATAGATCAAATTTCACAAAACTTCTATGAATTATTTGGGTTGTTTGAAGTTAGGGAAAATTGCTTCTAGCCCCAAAAACCCTAACAAATACCCTCCCAAGACTTTTTTAACGATGCCGAAGCCCCCAAAAGAATTTCTTATATTCCTTCAGCCTTCAAAACCCGTCCCCACGTAACCTGATATTTATTTATTTTTTCAAAATGCCCTTTGATTTAATCGCCTTTCACTTCTCAAAACTACTCGTTGATCGTGTTAGTCCATATCTCTTCTGTCCAAGTGAATCGACCATCTCCATTTCAAAACTCTAACCCTAAATCAACCCACCCCAGAGCGGAATCCTATACCCTGGTTGGAAAAATGGCCCAACAAGTCAACTCCCAAAGCAGTCGCCCCTATCGATTTTAGCGAAGACGACAACACGTCACGGTACATTGTCACAAAAAGACCTTCGAGCACAGCAGAGTGGATGAAGCTGACACATCAACTGCTAATGTTCTAAAGGACATCACAGCTAGTCATCCTCCTCCCACAAGTCTAGTTCAACCCAAAAACCCAATCCAACACACATATCTAGAGGGCAGCACCGGCACTGACGACGCCTCTAGAGCTCCTGGATCTAAAGAGAAGAACGAATAGGAGCGAAACAGAAGAGACACATACGAAAACCGAAAAGAAATGAGTTTTACCACATAATATAGTTGTTTATGATGTTACATGTTGTGTTAATTGTGAATGTTACAGTTAAGTTGTGAAGGTTAGCTTGTAGTTGTCAATGACATTCATTAATTGTTAAGATTTCTGCGTTAGTTTTTAAGGTTATGGATCTGTTATGAAGGTTACTGTTAGTTGTTAATATTGCCCTTCTTGTTTTGATGGTGATTTAGCAAACAATTTATATCTAATGTTGTTTGTCTAGTGTTTGTGTTTTCGTATTTATTCTAGGCAAACAACGTGTTGGAGGATGGATGGAATAGCGCTTCAACGACGATATCAAATGGAGGTTGGCGGAATTGTGGAGTGAAGCCCTTGCAATTCAAAGTTAAAGATCAAGTTCAAGCTTCATCCGCATGTGTACCAAATCGAGCTTATTGAAGATCAAGATCTAGCTTGGGTAACTTAATTTAGGTTTTATATTATGTGTGTTAGATACTCTAAGCTCAATATCATATACACACATATTTTATTGGTTTCCTTGTATATATATGTAGTCATATATATATACAACGCAAGTTTTGGTTCTCATGTTTATAAATATGAAATTACATATTTCATATTTATTATTATGATTTGGTTTATCTACTTAGATATGAAACAAATATTTTTGGTTTCATTTTCTATTGTATTTGTAAAAATATTGTATTCTTAGTTTTTGGACTTAACAATAATCATATATATATTTTATTCAGTCTACATAATCATTTTGTAAAGTTTCAAAACATGGTTTAGTCAAAATGTCAAAATTCACATGTTTACATTTTTATGTTTTGGTCTATTTTGTAAAATGATGATATTTTTCATTTGGGAAGTCCTTTTTGAAAACCAGTCATTGTAACATATTTATTATCATGTCTACAATCATTCCCTAAAGCTTTATATTTTTTAGAATTTATTTGATATTTTTAAACAGTGTTTTAAAATCAGAAAACTGTTTCTAAACTTTTATTTTCATATGTCAGTTCACGGTCGACCGCACCCGAGTCTTTTCCATAGTGGGCAGCAGAAACTCTCGCGGTCGACCGCCACGGTCGACCGTCAATGCTGAATTCCTCACAGTCGACCGTCGCGGTTGACCGTCGAACTCTCTGGAGTTTTCTGTTGATTTTTTGTTGTTCGCGGTCGACCGCCGGGGTCGACCGCCGCTCTGTCAGATCAGTTCCAACGACTAGTTTCCAGAGCCGTTGTAGTGTGGTTTTTTGGTCTTTTTCTTGGCTTTCTCTTGGTTTTAGGGTTTGTATAAATACCCCCTTTTACCTTCAGCTCTATATACAACAAGAGAATGTTTTAAAGAGTTTTAAAAAAAGTTTAAGCTTGTTTAAGGGTTTGGTTTATGAAGAAAGTTTTACAAGAGCTTGAGGAGATTATCAATTGTATTTTGGGCATTCAATCTATCTCTCTCTCTCTTGTCATCTAGAGAAGTTTTCCTAAACTCAACTCTAGCTTTTATTTATAATTATTTGTTGATTATCATTTCTATTAAGCTAGAATTATATTGAGTTTAGTTTTGATTTATATCTCATTGTTACACACACCCACTTGAGCTTATTGTATCTTTCATACATAGTATATTTGGGTTGGTGAGTGTTGTAACATTTGAGTGTGAGCTTTCATTGTGTTCTCATTCATATTAGAGAATAATCATTTATTGTAATTGTGCTTATTGTGAGATTCACTTTGTAATACACTTGTACACCGAGAGGAGTGTATGGTGAGAGTCGGGGATCGTCCCAAGAGGAGTGGCGTCGGTTGACGAACCTAGGGAGAGGTTGTAACCGAGCACTTAAGGGAGACACGACTAGGTCCAACACTTGTAAGGGTGTAGAGTGAGTTTGCAAAAGTGTGAGTTGTAGAGTTTTTGGTTAGCTAGAAAACCGAGTGTGAGATGTAAACGTTATTCGGGTGAACGTAGAAAACCCGGTTGTGATAGTGGATTTCTCCCCGGGAGTGGGGAGCGGAGACGTAGGATGGAAGGTCCGAACTCCGTGATCATTTGATTGTGTTTGAGTGTGCTTTGGCGTTTATTCTTATTTGTGCTCATTGCTCATTTCGCCATTGTCTCATTATTTATATCATCCACTATCTTGTTTCATTTTGTTTACCCTTGTGTTAGTTTCATACCCTTGCATATATATCTCATAGTATATTTCTTTGCTAGGATATATTTCATTGTTCATATTGCTTATCCTAGTTCACATATCATGTTGTATTTCATACTTGCTAGGATATTTTGTTAATTAGTTTTTATTGGATTAGATTAGCATAAGACCCTAATCCCCCCCCTCTAGGGTCTAACAGTTAAGGTTACTATTAACATGTGACATATTAGTTGTCAAGGTTAAGCGTTAGTTATAAGGTGATGAGTCTATTGTGAAGGTTATTGTTGATGTGTGGCTGTTAGTTGTGAAGTTTACTGTTGATGTGTGGATGTTAGTTGTGAAAGTTATTGTTAACTTATGGCTGTTAGTTGTGAATGTTATTGTTAACTTGTCACCTGTTAGTTGTCAGGATTATACTTTTATTGTTAAGGTTATTGATTGGTTGGTGAAGTTATTGAATGATTGTTAAGCTTATGGATTTGTTGTTAAGGTTACAGTTTCTTTGTTAAGTGTACAACATAATTGTTATGGTTACAAATTATTTTCAAACTAATTATGTTTTGTGGTTTTGCTTTGTAGAAAAAAGGTAAAGTCCCTATCAGAGTTGCGGTCTAGTTTTAGCTTTATTGCTTACTATGGATTTATACATTCTTTAGTATAACATATGGAGCAAAGGCATTGGAAGGCCTGTGAAGATAGTGTATTTAGACACTACGTTCATTTTGGCCCTCTTGGTCTTGATCTTCCCACTTTCGAGCATGTGTTGAGACAGTGGGATGAGAATAAGATATAAATTGTCTTCACTGATACAAAAATTGGAGAAGATATCGAGTGCTCATTCAACATTGATTGGGTAATGAGCCATACATGGTTCTTCAATGAGGGGGATTTTGTTGGCCCCAACCGAGATCGAAAAAATCAAATTTGGTCGAGATTTATTTACCAAACATGAGGGTGACAATAGTAGGACTCCTCTAGCACCACTAGAGGCTATGTTGAGTATCTACTCGCAAAGTTTGTACAATCAACCGACCGTCAAGATGTGAAGGATTTTGTCCTGCTACAGATACTCTATCAGCTGAGCATGATATGGTGTCTAAGCAACGTTCTTGGCATATCAAGACACTTGTTCAAGTATGTTGACAGTATCAAATAAGCAAATAACACTGCTTAGGGGACCTATATTTTCAGTGAGATAATTGATATAATTGAAAAGGCATTGAAGGATCTTGTAGAAGGAAAGAAAATTGTACATCTGCGAGGATGTACCTAGCTTGTTTGCGTAAGTATCCCTACTTTTTATTGTTTAGAGCAATGACTAAATTTTATGCATTCTTGATTGTGACAGTTAGAAAATAGTTCTTAAGTATAGTTGTTAGCTGTTAGGGTTAGGGATTAGTTGTTACATATATAATTTTGTTGTTAAGGTTATTGATTGATTGCAAAGGTTAGGGCCTTTTATTATGACTGCTGATTGATTGTTAACATTACAGGTTGGTTGTTAATGTTACGTATTTATTTTTAATGTTATAATTTGTTTGTTAATGTTACAATTTTATTATTATGGTTACGTATTTATTGTTAATGTTACAGAGTGGTTGTTAATTTTCTATTTCTCTCATGTACAGTTGTGGTACTATGAACT